TTAAAATTAAAACTAAAAGTTGACTGAAATCCTATTAAAAGTAAAAATAAACAATTTTTTTTGTAATATTCCTTTTAAAAGTTACGCGGGTCAAAAATTACATGCTTACAGCGAGCGACGACGACGACGGCGCGAGACTTGCTTTCTTCTTAACTCTTTAAGAGCTACAAGAAGAGCAATTATATATATACCCACCAAAAAATTTTTCCTCTTCCAATATGGGACAATGTCTCATTGTCAAGAGGGGAAAACTTAAAATTTTACTCAAAAATTTCATTTTTCCTCCATTTCCCATTCACCCTCATTTTAAGACTATTTCATCTTAAATAACAAAAACCTCAACAGTAGGTTGTATGATATTTGTATGAAGCGTGACAGACAAACTGTATCACACATTTGAAGATGTATCAACATTGTAGTAAAGTTGTATTATAGTTGTACACTGAATTGTATGAATATTATCTTTATATTGTATTAAGTTTGTATGAATATTGTATGAAAGTTGCAAATAAATTATATAATTAGTTGTATGAAATTTAATTTTTAAGTTGTATGTTATTGTAGATGTAATAAAGTTAGTATCAAATTTGCAACAAAAGAGCCTTAATCAAATAATTAGGTCCATGGATTATCTTTTTTCTTATGTTCTTTATTGCTAATTTAACAAGACAAATACATTTCTTAATACTGGATAGCGAAAACCTAAAAGTTCAAATCATCACCACAAATTGTCAGGTCTATTTCTTCGTGTGACAATGTAAAGAGCATGAGATATGAGAAAAAATATAAATAAATAAATAAATATAAGAGAAAAAAAAAGGGAGTAGTTAGAGAGGTCCATTTCCATTATCTGTTGCAAACATATTAGGTATGAGTAGCTATTTTTAATAATTTCTTTTTTAGTTTGACGTTTGCACCAAGCAGCCTAAACACCCAACTTAGCCTGTTGAATTGCCAAATTAACTACTACGACGAGACAAACTGATAATGCTTAAGTCATGACACTTATTTTATTTTTAAAAAAAAATCGGAACATCACACATTAAATGACTAGTATTTTGAGCATATTTATCACTCATCAAAGCTTAATTGACGAGCACTGTTAACTACTAAACCACAAGAATCGCGTTTTTATTTTTATCTTCTTAAAAAGAGAATTTATACCTAATCTATATTCCAAGACTAAAAAAAAGTTAAATCCTTATTTATTTACTTAAGGGTCCTCTGGTTACCGGGTTAGGAAAATAAGTTTAGTATAGAATGGTTGTTTTATGCTGCTTTTGATTAGCATTTCAAACGATTTTATATGAGAATTCCAGTATCATTCTATACCAAATTCAACATGCTAATTTATAAGAAAACTAGCTTTACGAAAATAAAACACATAAAAGATCAAAATAGCCTTAATATATATTTCTAATTTTTTACTAAAAAAAAGAATAAAATTTATAAAGTCATATGGAGTATTATTTACCATACATCTCATTTGTTATGCAATAAATCAAATATCCGCCAACAAAGGCATGTATGCTACATTATCCAGTGATTTGATTATTAAATCATGTATTACATCATTGCCTTTGCATTATCTTGTACATAAAACCCTTAATTTTTCTAGCTTTTCTCATGTAGAAAAGAAGGGGAAAAATGAGAATAGTTGCACATCTATTGGATTCAGTTGGAAATGTTGAATTTCATCACCCAAATAATGCATAAACATGCCGTCCCCTTTCACTATTGAATTGAAGTATTTAACAAATCAAATCAATAAAACACATCACTATCTCCAGCACTTAGCCAATAAAGCACGCATGCTACGTAAAAACACAGGGATAAAGACAACGCACAACACCAAATACAGCAATGAAACAATATACATAAAATGGAACTAGTGATGTTTTTCATTTTTGTCATTTTGATAACGACAATGTCTGCGCAATTTCCTTTATTCTACCGGGAACCTATTATCTACAACAAAACAGTAATCACGTAATTTTGCTCACCAAGACGACTTCCACACATTCAGAGAAATATATTTTGAAAAATATTTTCCTCGTAAACTCATCTTTTTTTTTTCAGAAAAATGGATAGCCATTGCAATTGCTGCCCTGTCATTGACATAAGAAAGGAATAGGCATTAGGCAATAGGAAGTAACATGACCGGATCAAGAAAAAGGAGCAAGAAAGTGATAGTTGGGACCCAAATTGCTCACCAAGTATAAACTTGACACATTTTCAGGTCCTACTGATCAGAAACAAGTCATCTGCTCTTCAACACATACAGCTGAGACATGAATGAGACATGGCCACTGATTTCAATAGCATAGCCACTGGTTATAGAAAATGATGGAAATAAGACTCACAAAGGGTCTTTAATTAGCTGTTGCTATCTATGCTTTATCAAATGTTACATACTAGTAAACTATGTTGGCCGGACTCTTGCCGTACCGTGTTAAATCCTCCAAGAATGTACTACTTTTGGCGTTTGAACAATGCATGTACACCCATTTAGCTCTTGGAATGGCCAATTTGACTGCTCTGATCATAGCACAAAGCTAATATCTTTTCTGATCAAAACAAAACAACTCCTATTTTTGGAAGCATATTTATGACTCATCTCAGTTATATTGACAATTACTGCTAACTTCTAAACCATGGGGAGGGTGCTTTATTAAAAGAATGAAAAAAGAAAAAAAAAAAAAAAAAAAAAAAAAAAGGAAAA